ACCAATCCCGAACGCCTTAATATAAAGCGTATAAATCACCAACAAGCATTAAGCGATACTAGCGCCGCCACGTACAGCAACTCCAGCGGAGCACCGACATTCCCGAAACTTGCCAGACTTCTCCACACTGACCAGCCGAATAAAGAAAAAAATCAATTCGCTGCAACGAGTGAACGGTGTTAAACTCATAATTTGTTTATTCCTAACCAAAACGTTTAAAAATCACTATTTTTTAATTATATTACTATTTTGAACTTAAGCGACAAGTAACTCCTTCTCAAAATACACGTTTCCTTGCAAAATACACAGCTTGAAATTAGGAACCACTGCTCAAGGCGAAAAGAGCAGTTATGAGAGCTTCTATACAACACTTAGAAAAATATAGAAAATGAAAGGTGACAAAAATTAGTCTCGAAAATACCAAAATTATGTAAAATACTCATAAAAAAAAAGGTGGTTACTTTGAAAACCGAGACATCTTTTCAGAAGATATTCCGACTACCGTAATTCATTTTATTTCCACATTCAAGTATATAAAACAAGAAAACTAAAACATTTCAGTATACTCTCACTACTGCAAAACTTTTCTCCAGCAATATACAACTGGTACGATTAAATTGCACCGTCAGAGGTGACGCACGACCGATAAGGGTCAACCACGAATCTCACCTCTCCTTATCTTACTCGCCTCATCCACTTTGCATCCGTAGAGAGTGCAGATCCTGAAACAGTGTACCGTACAAACGTCTCAATTTGTACAGCAGGCAAACCACAAGACCAAGAAGAATAAGAAGAAGAAGAAGAAGAAAGGAAAAAGAGAGGAATAATAAGAAGAAGCGTTCCTTTTAACGACGATATCTCGCGAGTCCACGCTTGTACATACGTACGCAGAGACTCGATGATCTCGATCGGTGGTGAATCGACAGACTCGTTCGTTCCTCGTCGCTGCTCGGTACCGTGAATTATTGCCAATTACAAACACACCGCGGACCCTTTCTATCCGGCGCTGCCGAAATTTATAGTCGATGATAAAGGTATCTGGCTGCGGTCGTGCCGGTGTAAAGGCGGCTTAACAAGCACCACCGCCGCTCACCCGACACGCGAGCCAATAAATCGGTCGGTCCCTCTTTCCTTATACTCCGCTACACTCTTCTTCTCTCTTCGAATCACTTTCTTCGCCTCCCTCCTTTTTTCTTTTTCCTCCTCCGACGAGCAGAAGAAGAGGAACACCCTTTCCCTTCCCTCGATCATCCAATATTATTCTATATGTAACATAGTGTGTAACAGTTGTGTGGTACCTTTGCCTCCTTCTCCTCCTCATCCTCGCTTCTGGCGGTCCCGCCGCCGCCGCCATCTTATAATTGCTTCATGGTACTTATTTATCGCGGTTATTAATAAACAAACGATACCAACTGGACGCTTCGTCTCGTAAATATTGTAATTAATGCGAGTGATAATTTTTGAACCGAGCCCTCGCCATCAATTTTCGACCTCTACTTGCGCAGTAGGTACCCCCTCTTTTACCTCGCTCGCTCTTTAAGAGCTTGTCCGAATACTTGTTCGAATTATGGCGTTTTCTTTCTTTGGTCGGGGTGTTTTTTACTCGTGTGGTAGTTGCTGTGGGATGTTGAAGAGGTCTCGGTGATAAAATTTGCATCGAGGTTTTCGGTGCGGTTAATTTTGTGGATAGGATTTCGTGAAATTATGGGAATGAAGATTTTTATGGGAGTATGTAAGAATTTTTGGGGATTTTTAATTGTTGATGGTGGATTCTTTCTGAACTATAATGCGTGCTTTTTTAAAATTATTTATTCGAATATTTGAGAAGTTCGAAGTACTCGGGGTAATTCGAAATTCGAACACTTTGAATATACGAA